GTTTTCAGATATATTCCACCTTTTCGGCTCATTTCTGCTTCTTTCAGCCTAATTGGGCACAATTGTGCTCTCCAACTCCTGGTTATTTAAGCTTCTTTGACTTTTTAGCTACTTTTCAGCTATTTCTTTTGATAATCTAAGCTTTTTCAGCTAATTTACTAATTTTTGTGCTCATTTCTGACATTTTAAACCAAATTCAGATGTTCTTTCTGCTTGTGCTAACTTAAGGCTTGTTCTTCGATTTCAGCTACAATTCAGCATGTTTTTAGCTAGTTTCAGCTGTTTTTCAGCAAGTTCTTCTGCAATAAGCATTCACACTGGGCAGCTGTGGCTGAGTGGTTAGAGCAGTCGTCCTCCAATGCAAGAGTTGGGGGTTCGAATCCATCAGCAGTCACATGCCGAAGTGTCCATGGGCAAGACACTGAACTCAGCCTCTGATGTGTGTCCCATCAGTGTATGAATGAGATAAAGCTCTGATTAGTCTCTTTAGAGTGATTTGTTCAATTAGCTTTGTAGAGATCTAGTATAGAGCTGTATGAATGGGTAAATGAGGTTGTAGTGTGAAGACCTTAGAGTATCTCTGTAAGATAGAAAGGCGCTCTATAAGTACAGTCCATTTACTGCATTTTCGCAGGAATCGCTCTAGTTTAAATTCGTCAGCATTCGCGTACAGACATGGTTGACTTGTGCACATACACGAAATTTCGGCTAGCAGAGCGCCTAACCCCGACTCCCCACAGGATAACTGCTGGAATAAATAAAAATATGAAATACTGTTTTTACTGTGACAGTATTCACAGATAAACAGTTCTTTTAAAAACCCAGCTGAGATGAATTGGTTGTAATAACCACGAGGTTTTAGTCGGCCAACACGAACGCCTGAAGAAAATCCCCAAAGCAGCGTATTTTTAAAAATGTTTTATTTTCACTTCAAAGTGACTACATTTGATACAAAGATGGAAAAATAACTTCAACAGGTATATTTGTAGTTTATCTTGCTGCAAAACAACCTCGCTGAAAAGTTTACATTCATATGTAGACAAGCTAGCAAACAAGCTAGGCTGTGCTAGATTAGTTTGGGTTTCCCACTTGTTAGCATGTCTCACATCCTATTAAAATTAACCAGAGTAGGAATTATCCATTAAGAGATATTGTTTTACATTTTGCAGAGGAAGCTTAAAAAAAAACCTTCATGTTAATGTCTCTGTGTGGACAGAAATCTTTTTAGAAACGACAACGTAGCAGCCTATTTCAAACGTGCCCACAATTAAAACCCCGGGTTTTTGTTTAGACTCATGAAATGTCTTCTGTCGAGCGATGCATACCTATAACTAGCAGTGATGACTTCATTAGATTTTTGATCAATAAAATTAAAAGTCACACCATATTTTTGCCTCTGACGTTTTATCAAACGAAACGGCTTTGGAAGTGTCACTAGAACCTGACTTGTGTTTGGACTGTTTTTGTCCAAGTCTGAATTGTCAAAAATAAAAGCTGCATCAAACCATCAGCATGTCTGCTAGAGCGCATCTCAACTAGACTGTTTAAAGAGGTATTTCCCGTATTATCCCCATTTTGGATCTACTCAATCTGTTGTTGATGAGTGGTGGTGTGCCACAGGGCACAATTCATCACATTATTAGGGCTTTAATGTGGTATTTGTACAGTAACGGCTCTAAAGTGGTTTAAATCATACTTTTTTGACATATTTCAGTTTGTTAGTTATGGAGTTCCTCAGGGTTCAGTGTTTGGACCAATACTCTTTCATTTATATGTTTTCTTTAGGTAAAGTTATTAAACAGCATGGGATAAATTTTTATTGTTATGCTGATGATACTCAGTTATATTTGTCCATTAAACCAAATAAATCCAATCAGCTACTTAGACTAAAAGCATGTCTTAAAGACATAAAAACCTGGATGACCCTTAATTTTCTACTTTTTAAACTCAGACAAGACAGAGGTTGTGGTTTTTGGACCTGAGCGTCTTAGGAATAAACTTGGCAGCCTTTCACTTCCTCTGGTTGGCATTAATCTGGCCTCCAGCTCTAACGTTAAAAATCTTGGTGTTATTTTTAATCAGTCTTTTAACCCCCACATTTTAAAAAAAGTTACCACTTTCCTCCACCTGCGTAATATCACTAAAGTTAGAAACGTGTCCAAAAATGATGCAGAAAAACTGGTTTGTGCATTTGTCACGTCTAGGCAGGATGATTGCAGTGGTTTATCGGAGTGCCAAAAAAAAAAAAAAAAACTCTGAAAAGTCTTCAGTTGATCCAAAATGCTGCTGCCAGAGTCTTAACTGGAGTTACTGGGAGAGATCATCTCTCTCCAGTTTTAGCTTCTCTCCATTGGCTCCCTGTCAAATCCAGAATAGAATTCAAAATCTTACTTCTAACCTACAAAGCTCTCAACAACCTAGCTCCATCTTATATTACAGATCTTATTGTTCCATATTTTCCCAACAGAGCACTTCGCTCTCAGACTGCAGGTTTACTTGTGGTTCCTAGAGTTTACAAAAGCAGAATGGGAGGCAGATCTTTCAGTTCTCAGGCTCCTCTCTTGTGGAACCAACTTCCAGTTTCTGTCCATGAGGCTGACACATTGTCCAGTTTTAAGACTTTCTTTTTTGATAAATCCTATAGTTAGGGTTGGCTTGGGTTTCCTGAGCTGTCCCTTAGTTCAACTGCTGGAGGACAAACTGACCACATTTCTCACTCTGCTGCTGTCTTTACTTGCTTTACTGATCATGTTTGTGTTTGTAACTGTTTTTATAATTTTTACTCTTTGTCTTTCTACCCATAGAAACTCCACCTGAACAACTCCATATTTGTCCGCCTCCTTCCTGTCCTCTCTAACTCTAGCCGACCGAGGCAGATGGCTGCCCATCCTGAGCCTGGTTCTGCTGGAGATTTCTTCCTGCTAATATGTTTCTTTTCCACAGTCACCAGTGCGTTTGATCAGGGGATTACCAGTACAACTTAGAGAAGATTCAACGCAATCTGCAGGCTTCCTTAAATAGATAATTTTGACTAATTGTACGGATGCACGATATTAGCGTTAAAGTTCAATATCGGGCATTCCGTCAAAATAACTCACCGATATAAACGATGCCGTTCTTGTATGACAACAGTGACGAGGACGCCTGCAGCTCCAGCACAACGCGATGACGTCGCGTGCGCCTACCTGATCCGATCACGGTGGAGAGGGAGAAGTCAAAATGTCGGCGGTGTGGAAGTTTTTTTTTTCTCATTGGTGAGGATGTTGGATTCCGAAGATTTATGGAGTACGTTGAGCCTCGCTGCATCGTCGCCAGTCGGAGATAGTTTTCTGACGTAGCCTTACTCGAGTTACAAGCCGTCATTTGTGACGTCACTGAGAAGCTAACAGCCGATAGCACTTGGGTGAGTTTTACCACCTGGACGTCAAGTGTTAGCCCCGTTAGCATGATTAACCCAAACGTCTGTAAAGCCGTTCTTACAGATGTTTCATAATTCGTTCAACTTTGATCGTGCACTGAAACGGTTAACGACGAAACAGAAACTGAACGATGATTAAAAAAAAAAAAAAAGCGAGTTTCTGGAGACATCCAGGCCGAGCTTAGGATGTACTTCCGATATTTGATATGTCATTATTGTGGACAATCTCGCTGCTTAAGTCATGGTCGTTACAGTATTTTAGTTGAAATGTGTGAATAAAAAAATATATATATATTTATATTATATAAAGACTCTGTGACTTAGTTATAACGGTTATATATTAGCTGTGTAAATACGGTATATTTGGACTTTTTAAGTGCAACAATAGCGTTTCCTTCAAATCTTTAGCCGTTTACCTTCTACAGCTCCTTTCACATTTTATTCTGCTTCAGCTTATTTCAGCTTCCTTATCAAATTTAAACTTTTCAGCTACTTTCAGCTAATTTCAGCTGCTTTTTGTATCAGCAGTTTTGCGCTCCTTTCAGCTTCGTTCTGCTAATTTTGACTTGTTATGCTCTTTTTAGCTTATTTCTACAAGTTGTCTTTTTCTGCTATTTCAGCTTCTATTTAACTGTTTTTTTTTTATGCTAATTTTAGCTTTTTCAGAGAACTCCACATTTTTTGCACCAATTAAAAAAAAAATTCAGCCTAATTCAGCAAAAATGTGCTCTCACCCCTTCTGCTAATTTAAGCTTCTTTCTGCTTTTTAGGAACCTTTCAGCTGTTTTTTTTTATTTTTGCTAATTTCAGCTTTTTTCAGATAATTTCCACCTTTTTGTGCTCATTTCTGCTTCTGTCGGTCTAATTGGGCAAACAAGTGTTCTTTTTGATTTCGCCTGCTAATTTAAGCTTGTTCGACCTTTACAGCTAGCTTTTGTTTTTCTTAGCATTTTAGCTACTTTCAGCTGTTTTCAGATAAATTCAAGTATTTTGTGGTAGTTTATGCTCCTTACAGCCTAATTAACTTCTTTATGCCTTCAGCTTTTTTCTGGTATTTTCAGTTTTTTCTGCAATTTCCGCTAATATTTAGCTGTTTTTATGCTAATTTTAGCTTTTTCAGCTAATTCCACTTCTTTTTGGCTCATTTCAGCTTTTTCCACTTTCTTCTAGTGGTTGAAGCTTGCTTCTGCCTTTTCAGCTACTTTTCAGATATTTTTTGCTAATTTCAGCTTTTTTCCCGTTATTTCCTAATGTTTGCGCTCATTTCTGCTTATTTAAACCAAATTCAGCAAATATGTTTTTCTGCTTTCTTCTACTAACTTAAGCTTGCTCTTCCATTTCAGCTGCATTTCAGCATGTTTTTAGCTAATTTCAGCTGTTTTTCAGCAATAAGCATTCGTACTGCATTTTCGCAAGAAATGTAATTTGTCTAGTTAAAATAAACAATGACTGAATTATATAAATCATATCAAGACACCTTTAATCTTCAAAGCAGGATTTTTGTTTAAAATAACGGAAATGAAAAGGGTTTGGTTTTGATGAAGACTTTGTAGTTTCTTCAAAGGAATCTCTGTCTCTTGAATTAAATGCTCGACCTTGTGTTTCCAGCTGATCTTCTGCTCAGCTGGTTTATCGCGTCAACGATGGCGATAGCTCTCGTTTCAATCACAACCGCTGAGGCAACATTTGGTATGTGCATCAGACGGGAAGAGACTCAGCACAGAGTGACGGAAGAACCCGGCCAGAATCCAAATCCAGGGTAAAGAGGTTCAGTAAAATTGGTCGTCAAGGTGTGGAGGTGGATCGGCGTTGCAGAGGAGGTTCTGTAGAAGGACAGAGTGCCAGAAGGACAGTCCACATACACGCCCAGTCGGTGGCAAGAAGCGGAAGAAGAGGAGGAGGAGGAGATGAATTCTCGTTTGTTGTTGTGGCAGACAGAGTAGCGGCCTTCATCAGAACAGCTCAGACTCCAGGAGATGTCGTTAAACCCAAACTCGCAGTCGTTGCTGTTGCCTTTACGTCGGACGTCTTTGTAAGTCACCGATATCTCCACCTTCCCTTTCCACTGAACCTCCCAGAAACAGCGATCGGGCAGACTTTCTTTACACATCACCTCAGGCCAGAAGTCGAATCTGTCTGGATGATCTGGATACAATTGATCCTCCTCCACACACATTACCTTCCTGTTGTTGTCAGACAGTTGGAGTTTCCTATTCACTGTGTTTGTGTCGATTGTGAGCCGGCAGGAATCTGACGGAGGGAACAAACACGATACGTGATACAAATGTTGCTGCTTTGTTGTCATGAACCAAATGAAAAGCACTTACACTTCTTCAGACCTGGAGTCAACCACTGGGCTCCGGCAGGCTCCACCCTGAAAGGAGGAAGGGGTCAGACTATGAGTCTCTTCCAGCAAATCAAGGTAAGAATATATATACATATCAGGAAATGTAAGTAGTTTTTTCGACATAGGGCCCAATAAAGACATGACGGTGATATACCATTTGTTGTTCTCTGAATTTATTGTAGATTGTTCAGAAAGTATTCAGACCTCTTCACATTTTGGGGAAACAACTTTCTCTCCTCTATGAAGTATTGTGAGCGGTTATATACCTGATAGGGATGCACGATATTATCGGCAATGGCCGATATTAGAGTTAAAGTTAATATATTCCATCAAAATAACTCACCGATATAAAAGACGCTGTTTTTGTATGACAACCCAGTGACAAGGATGCCAGCAGCGCCAGCACAACGTGACGACGTCACACGTGCCTACGTGATCTCACGGCGGAAAGGAAGAAGTTAAAATGTCGGCGGTGTGGAAGGTTTTTTTGTTTTATTGGTGAGGATGTCGGATTCCGAAGATTTTTGGACTACGTTACTACATCACCCCCAGTCTGAGATATTTTTCCGAAGTAGCTTTACTCGAGTTACAAGCTGTCATTCCCGACGTCATTGAGAAGCTAACAGCCGATAGCACTTGGGTGAGTTTTACCACAGACATTTGGACGTCGTGTTAGCCCCGTTAGCATGATTAGTCTTACGGCACAATGGATAGACAAAAACTTTGAACTTATAAAAGGTTGTCCTTCATGCACAGGAGTGCAGAGGATCCCACACTGCAGCTATAGGAACCTGGAACAAGCCTCCACAAGTGAGACAGCATCGCAGGTGACTAATGCTAATAAATAACATTTAACACTTTTCATTTAATATAAGTTAAAGTGATATGCATATCATATGACTGTTACTGACTATATGTCACCAGTTCTTATAGCTGTTACACAATTTTTGTAGCAAATAAACCTAAATAAGAGGACTATGTTCTGACAAAGGGAAGTATATAATGTATCGGATATCGGCCAAAAATCCAATATTGCGCATCCCCAATACCTGAGTGAGTACGGTTTCCAGGGTTCATCTGGCGCAGACAGAGTCATCATTCCTTCCTCTCCTGGGTGATTGTAGCTCAGGTCCAGCTCTTTTAGAGGAGTGGGGTTGGATCTCAAAGCTGACACTAGAGAAGCACAGCCTCCCTTGGTGATCAGACACCCTGACAGGCTGCAGACACACAAAACAGACTTTTACTTTTGCCCTTTTTTGGCTTAAAATAGTTTACAGGACCGTTATGCATTCTTTATTATTTTTGTTTGATCTGCCAACCTCTGTGACAGTTCCCATTTCCACAGTATTTTCCCCCACTCTTTTAGTCTATTTAGTATGCACTGGGGTTTGGGTTGTTTGTTGCTGTTTAAAAAGTAGGTCTCACTTACTTACTGGAAAAGTGAACCAAACTCTCACGATAGTTGTGAGACTGAACAGCTCTTAGTAAAGGGCTGAAACCCCGTTTTTGGTGCTCTGCTTTGACCTGAACATGTACAATTCAAATCCAAACCATAACACGGTGTAACACACCCTGACTGGATGCATTCCACCTCGTTTAAGTCCAGCAAGCAAAGCCTCTACCTTTCTTTCAATTTTCTTTCTTTTATGATGTATCTATGATGTTGTAATTATTGTGAAGTACTTTGGTCAGCTGACATTGTAAATGTGCTATACAAATAAACTTTGACTGTCAGGCGTTGATCCAGTCCTACGTCAGACAGCAAGCTGAACAGCTGTGGGACATCACTGTCGTGTTACTGAGTGGCACATATCTGCACAACTTCTTTCCCAACACTAACTACCACCTGAAATTGGCAGTCCAAAGGCAATATTACCCACCTCCACGCAATGGTTCCCAGGTGTGCCAGCCAAGACAGCCCAACAACATCCATGGCCTTGAGGAACTCAAAGCCAATCTCATCCTTTCCTGGACCTTTGTCACCACAGAGTTGTTTGACTATCTCATCAACCTCAGCTCCACTGATAGCACCTAATACAGTGACCCCTCATTACTAAAAATCCTTCTCCATAGGCGCACTAAACTCTTCTCATGTTCCTGAGTTATTCTACCATCAGAGCTGCAGTCTCCTTGGCCTGCCAATACATCTTAGCTACTTCCATAGTCTCAACAAGCTAACCAAACTCTGTAGGACAGTCTTCACCTCAGCTGTCTCACCACCATGGGAGTTGAAGATCTTCTGGACTGGGGCCTCTACCAGGTGGGTAGGGTCTGAGATGGTGTAGAGTTTCCTATTCACTGTGTTTGTGTCAACTGTGAGCCGACAGGGCAGCCGACTTGGGACCAGAAAGTCGTGATTTGACTCCCTGCCATGCCCACATGTCATGGTGTCCCTGAGCAAGACCTCTAATCCCCAATTGCTCCCTGGGTGCTTGCATAACTACCCGCTGCCCCACCTGGGTATATCTCCTGGGTGTATCTCAGGTGTGATGGGTTAAATGCAGATAACTAATTTCATCATTGTATAGAAACATACAATGATGACAACACATATAGAACTTATACTTATATATGTATAGGTGCTCCAAACATGTTGTCAGTAAATGTTTGGCTGCACAGCATTTGTTCGGCATTTTCCCTCACCACCTGATCCAGCTCACCACCAGACAGCTCAGCTTCTCTCTCCTGTATTCACCAGAATGTCCAAGGCAGGTCTAACGATCAACTACAAAATCAATTGATCTGCAACCCTGGATGTCCTAGCATTCACTTTTGGGCACCCCTATGCTTGAACATCATGTTTGTTATGGACAAACTAGGACTAGCAGAAAAGTCCAACAACAAAACACCACTCTGGTCCAGGTCAGATTTGACCTGATATACATTCTATACAGGCTGAACTCCACCAGTAAGACAACCAAGTCACCTGATGGATGTTTTGTCGATAGACTCCAAAAAGGCTAGCTACTCTGAACTACTACTAGGTGCTTGAGCACCAACAATAGTCGGGACCCTTTCTACCACCTGAGTGCAAAAAGCAGACCACCCTCTTGTTCACTTGGAAAAACTCCCATCTTTGGTCAGCAAGAAAGGGAGCTTTAAGTAAGCATATCCTCACTCACTGTATCAGACTCTAGAGTAGAATATAGTCCACAAACTGGTCAAGAGGTTCGGTCCAGGACCCATGCTGTGGGTTAAGGTGAACCAGGCTATACAATACTTAACTTCCTGCACAAACCTGGGCTGTAATCTATTTGTAAAGTCATGTTCCACACTCCTAAAACCAGTATCAGCAACCAAGGATAAGGCCTCAAAGGTCTCCTTTACGGACTTATGCTCATTTCACAATGAAATAGTTCCTTATGAAGCCTCTTGCATGAGTGGGCCTACAGGGTCCACCATGCGCTTTCCAAAGAATCTTCTTTTGACCTGGCTCCAAGGTGAGGCCTTGGTATCCCCAATTTGGTTATGGCTTGGTCTCTATTGGCCTCAAAGTCACCGCAAGAGTTGTTAAATCACAGTTTATCTGGTTCCTTGCCCAGAATCACTTTTCCCTACAGTAGGAGACCTTACCAAGTGAAAATTACCACCAACACATGATAAACCATTATTTGCCAACACTGAAAACAAAATGATGCCGATTCATGAAGGTGAAAGAGTAAAAGCTAAATTCGTAGAGTTTAAACTTTGTAGAGAGTACTATACTACTTGGTTGACACCTCACCCTAGAGTTTCCAGGACACAATGTTTTTCCTTTAGTCCTTTAGACAGAAGTTCCACTCCTGAATCTTGAAGGTCATTGTTACTCAGGTCCAACTCTCTCAGACAAGAAGACTGGGAACTGAGAACTGAGGACAGGACTTCACAGCTTATCTCTGAAAGATTACAGACACTTAATCTGGGGAGGCAAAATAATAGTAGTTAGAATTTATCTTGTTCACCTGCTGCAATTTTATGTTGTAGTAACAAAATTCACCTATCTGTGTACTTACAAAGTTTTGTTGGATGACTCAACAACTAATCGTAATCTCAAAAGAGCCTTCTCGGAATTAAAATACTTCTTCAGGTCAAACACGTCCAGGTCTTTTTTTGATGACAGTAAGAAGAAGACCAGAGCTGACCACTGAGCAGCAGACAGTTGATCTGTGGTCAGGCTTCCCGAACTGTGGACTGTTTGGATCTCCTCCACTAAAGAAGACTCATTCAGTTCATTCAGACAGTGGAACAGATTGATGATTTTGTCAGCAGACAAGTCTCCACTGAACTTCTCCTTGATGTATTGGACTATTTCCTGATTGGTCTGTGAGGTACTTGTCTGTTTCAGAAGACCTTGAAGGAGTTCCTGATTGGTTTTCAATGAAAGACCCAGGAAGAAGCGAAGGAACAAGTCCATGTGTCCATTTGGACTCCTTAAAGCCTTGTCCACAGCACTTTGGTAAAATGTCTTCTCTGTATCTTTATCTTCTCCTATTTCAGTTTCCTGGGGAATTGTTTCTTCTTCAAGCAAATTGACTTTGGAGTTAATGAAAGTCAGATGGACATAAAGAGCAGCCAAAAACTCTTGAACACTCAGATGGACAAAGAAGAACACCTTGTCCTGGTACAGCCCTCTCTCCTCTTTAAAGATCTGTGTGAACACTCCTGAGTCCACCGAGGCTGCTCTGATATCAAAGCCACACTCAGTCAGGTCTGATTCGTAGAAGATCAGGTTTCCTTTCTGCAGCTGCTCAAAAGCCAGTTTCCCCAGAGACTCGATCATCGTCTTGTTCACTGGACTCCAAAGTGGGTCTGTCTCAGATCCTTTGTCATACTTGACCTTCTTTATTTTAGTTTGAACCACCAAGAAGTGAGTATACATCTGAGTCAAGGTACTTGGTAGCCTTTCTTCATCTTTGAATTTGAACTCATCCCCCAAAACTGTTGCAGTGATCCAGCAGAAAACGGGAATTCGGCACATGATGCAAAGGCTTTGTGACTGTTTCACGTGGGAGATGATTGTGTTGGCCTGCTTCTCTTCTATGAACTTTTTTTTAAAGTAGTCTTCCTTCTGTGGGTCAGTGAACCCTCTGATTTCTGTCACCATGCAAACACACACAGGAGGGATCTGATTGGCTGCTGCAGGTCGTGTGGTTATCCAGAGGCGAGCAGAGGGAAGCAGGTCCCCTCTGATAAGGTTCGTCAGCAGAACATCCACCGAGGTGGACTTTCTAGGGTCAGTTAGGATCGTAGTGTTACAGAAGTCCAGAGGAAGTCGACACTCATCCAGACCATCCAAGATGAACAAAACCTGAAAGTCTTCAAACGTGCAAAGTTCTGCTTCTTTGGTTTCAACGAAGAAGTAATGAACAAGCGTCACCAAGCTGAACTGTTTGTCTTTGACCAAGTTCAGCTCTCTGAAAGTGAAGAGAAATGTGAAATGGATGTTCTTGTGGGCTTTGTCTTCAGCCCAGTCCAGAGTAAACTTTCGTGTTAAGACTGTTTTCCCAATGCCAGCCACTCCCAGCGTCATCACTGTTCTGATTGGTTCATGCCTTTCGGGTGGGGGGTTAAAGATGTCTTCTTGTCTGATTGCTGTTTCTGGTCTGTGTGGTTTTCTGAATGCTGCTTCGATCTGTCTGACCTCGTGTTCATCGTTGACCTCTCCAGTCCCTCCCTCTGTGATGTAGAGCTCTGTGTAGATCTGATTCAGAAGGGTTGGGTTTCCTGCTTTAGGGATCCCCTCAAACATACATTGAAACTTTGTTTTCATGTTGGATTTGAGTTTACTCTGGCACATGACAGGAGATCCTAAAATAAGAAATAGAAGCACTAAATCAACAGCTTATCGGTCTTGTTTTAATTATATAACCCTCTCAAGCAGACCAAAACAATGGCTAAAACAGTGGTACACCGATGTCCCCCGTCATTGAAGGAGTTGAATAGTGAATGTTTGTAGTTTTTGAGATGAGTGTTTTTCTAGACTGGAATTGAATAGGGAATACAAGTAAACCTTAATGTTTTTGGTGCAAGATAGAAACCATCAGGTGCAATGATGAGCCAGGGGGTGGCCAATGGTGGCCTTGTCCACCATATATTAATAGTCAGCCACCCCAATCATTTGAGGAAACTATACTTTTAAGCAATATAAAAAGAAGAAAGCATGGTTTCCTGAATTGATAGGGGGCGGCCATATATGCAGTGGCGGCTGATCAATAGGGGGCGCTAGGGCACTGCCCCACCACTCAAATATTACCTTGAAGACAGAAAAAAATAAAATAAAAATGAAATAATTAAATAAAAAAATATTTCAAAATATATGTATTTTTTTTCATTTGTGTAAGATGAATATTTTATAGTTAATGATGAATAAAGTTCCTTTCAAAAACGTTGTCACTGATTTTATATATATATATATATATATATATATATATATATATATATATA